TGTCGTCAATGCCGTTTAGCATTTTTCCTTTAATCCCTCCCGTACCTGCCTCTTCGCTGTCCTAGGTGGATTCCAATTTAGTCTGGAATCTGAAGCCAGCCCCCTGATTGTGTTGGTTTTCCTGCCACAGCAGGAAATGATAGCAATATTCTTCATGACCAGCATGGAGTGTAGGTGTTAGGAGTCTGTTATTCTGGCATTAGCTGACCATGTGCCTGGTATTTTACTGAATTCTCCCTTGTATAAAACACCATGAAGCATGTGGCCAGAGGCACATAGGAGGAAGGACCTTTGCCCTCAAGAAACTCATATCTCAAAAGGAATCTATAATCTTCATTATAAACCACTAAGATTGAATAAGATCCTTTTTCTTTTTTCTTTCTTTCTTTCTTTCTTTCTTTCTTTCTTTCTTTCTTTCTTTCTTTCTTTCTTTCTTTCTTTCTTTCTTTCTTTCTTTCTTTCTTTCTTTTTGTTGTTTGGCTTTTTTGAGAAAGAGTTTTTCTCTGTAGTCCTGGCTGTCCTGGAACTCACTCTGTAGACCAGGCTGGACTTGAGATCTACCTGCCTCTGCCTCCTGAGTACTGGGATTAAAAGCCTGCGCGCTACTGTGGGGCAAAAGGGTTTTTTGTTTGTTTTTTGGTTTGGTTTGGTTCGGTTTTTGTTTTTTAGGATCCTTTCAATTCTATACATTAACAGAATAAATTTGAATAAATATGTTAAAGTAATATTCAGAATCCTCTAATTATAGTCAAACTATATTAATCCAAATATTAAGTAGCTTTATGGAAATTCATATGAGTCAAAACCTCATTTTCTAAAAGGAAAAGAAGTATTGTAGGTCAATCACATTGACTGCAGCCACTTTTATCCTGAAGAAACTTAAATATGTTTAAATATAAAATGCATATCAATTTCCTGTGATTATAATTTTTATGAACCATAAACCAAGAGATGTATAAATTTAAGTTAAAACTAAGAAAATTAATATGATGTAAATTAATTCTTTTTTTTGTAAGTCCTCTCTGAAAGGTGTGCTATTTCTGGAGGTACTGTACTACTAGGGTGATGTGTCGAGAGAGTGGGTGAGCTCCTGTCCCGTATTCCCGCTTCCAGTATCCACTTAATATATTGTCCAAGGGTAGATCTGCGCATTATCACATGTTCAACGGATACACACAGATTCTAGACTTGCCTTTGCCAAAATGCTGAGAGGCAGTAGAATTAATACTTTACCTGAGGTGTTTTTGTTGTTGTTGTTTTTGTTGTTGTTTGGTTTTTTTCAGGAGTCAAATAATTGATGTTGAGACTGTTGCCAGTAGAAAGAGCCACTGGCCTTGCGTTTCTCCAGTGTTTGACTCAGTCCTCTGCTTTGGCCTCGGTGGCCTGTGCCGTGCGTCCTTGGCACTCTCCCAGCCGCCATCTTCCCTCCTATTACCTGGCTCAGTGGGTTAGCCCACCAGTTTACTTAGAATACCCCCAGATCTCACAGTGACAATGTTAGGGAATGTATCCCACTGTGTGTGGATCCCACCTCCACTTTTCTATTTGCAGGACACTGCACAGCTTTCCGTAGGCTAAGACACGCCCTCTTCCATGCATTATTTAGCATAACTGTATAATATCCTTTTTAAGTCCATCTCTTCCCTTTTCTCTTCAGCCTGTGGCAACTCATATTACTTAGCTTCCCTTGATCATTTTCACGATAATCAATTCATGGTGCAATAGAGAGGTTCTGTCTTTCCGATCGGTATCAGAATCGTGCGTGAGCAGCGAACAGCTCCTGTTCTCATACTTGACGCCGAGGCCCTGGGGGCGGACGGGCGGACGGCCCTGCTTGCTAGCACTTGAAGAGTCCATGTTGAATTGCCTAGCGCTTGTCTTGTAGCTGCACGTCATGGGACGTGGAGTCACAGGGTGGTAAACAATCCTGCCTGTCACCCACAGTATCCACAATATGTTTCTCTCGTCCTCGTGGTTTTCATCACCACAAGGAGAAGACGCCTAAAACTCGCTGCAGAATCTGGGACCATGTCTGCAGATTTCTAGTAGACGAAGGTAGCAGTTTGAGGAACACTGGTCTATAGGATATTGGGCAAATCATTGATTACCAAGGAGCGTTTCCTTCTTCATTCTTGGGAAGTATGTGCCATTTCTGAGACGCTGCTGAATTCTTTCTTCCTCCCCCTTAGTCCATTCTCTTAATCATCAATAAACTAGGCTCGTTTTTGTTTTCACATGAAAAGGCTTTAGAAAGGACTCCAGCTCAGGCCCAAGACAGTTCAGTTAGATGAACAGAGCACTTGACATGGTTTTATATAATACTGGGAATTGCCTTTGGTTTTCTATAGCACCATAAGCTCCAGGACAGACGATTTTGTGATTTTCTTTATTGGATTCCAAGTCTGTGGAAGACTGTGCCCAGCACAACTGAGTGCTTGAGAAATCTTTGAAGAAAAGATGTGTGACTATTAGTATAAGAAAGTACTAAGGAGCCGGGTATGCTGGCTCTTGCCTTTAATCCCAGCACTCAGGAGGCAGAGTCTTCTCCTTTCAGTGATCAAACCCATGGAAAAGGTAGAAGCATATCTTGGATACTGTAGATGACAGTTGTGGCTGTTTATCATCATGTGACTAAGTTTGAGGCCAGTCTGGTCTACAAAACGAGTTCCAGGACAACCAGGGCTACACACAGAAAATCTGTCTTGAAAAAACAAAAGAACAAGAGAGAGACAGAGAGAGAGAGACAGACAGACAGACAGACAGACTTAATTCGGCAGACACCAGATGGTGTGCTCCAGTGCTTTCTCCTGGAAGCATGACCCATAGCTTGTCACTGTGACAAACATGCTGGCCTGGTAGAGAACTAGTCTCAGCCTGCCTCGGTATGTTCTCATCTGAAAAATCAAAACCAGTTGTTTTCGTTGCCTAGTGGTTAGTATGTAGAAAGTGATGAGCAGTTTCCCCCTGACATCCTGCCTCCGATGCCAGCCTCTTTTCTCCCCTTCACTGTGTCTTCCTTGTGACTCAGATGAGCGATATGATGTCCCTCTTATTCACAGGATGTCTGCAGGCCGTGCTGCGGCCTAGAACACAGCATCTGTATCGTCGCTCTGCCCGGTTCCAGTGAACACAGTTAGGGCGAGTGCCCGCCCATCCTTTGTTTTCGCTCCATTTGCCTTGCTTCTTTGTGGTGATGGACTGAAGAGATAAAGCGCATATTTGTTAGAGACAGCTTCACGATCAAAGCAGATCCTTATCCACCCTTACACAGGACTTGACTTCTTAGGTTAAGGAGTTGTTCATTTTTCTACAAGATAAGATTTTTTTTTCTAATTTAGACTTTTTTAAAGCTAATTCTTAGATCTCTTATAAAAGAATTCGCCAGATAATGAATGGGCCCTGATTTCCGTCACGTGCTTCCAAATGTGATGCTAACAGTCTTGGGATGGTGCCCTTCCTGGTGCCGATCTTCAAGGTGAAGTGACTTTGCAGGGAACTGGGCATCATAAGCATATTTCTTAAAAAGCAATGTCCAAGTCTCATGTCTTCATAGTCTCTTGCTGACTATAAAGGACAGAAGAGAAAAGTTTCTAACAACAATGAAAGTTGGGCGCTTCCTGTACTAATAACTGTGAAATAGATCTACCCAGAGGACACCAGGGCCTGCACCCTGTTCCCTAACCCTCAAAGCTGTGTGACTAGAGACAAGTCAGTTTCTTTGTGTCTGGGGACTTTTCATCTGGACAGTTGAACCTCAGCTTCCCCCTCATGGCTTTCAACTCTGTAGAGAATCTTAATAAGGCAACTCGGATCTTAGGAACCTAAGATGCAGGGAAAATGCCACATAGAGCAACGCGGCACTCTACCGATAAGAACTAAATCTCCGTGAGTAACCAGAGATGCATCCGGTTTTATGCTGCAGTTCTCAAAATGCCTTATCCTTAGCACCCAAATGAAATGATTCCAGTGCCATAGCTTATACTTTTATTTTCCTCTCTTATACATCGCTGTGGTGTGCTCTGAAATAACATGAGATAAAGGAGAAAAAGAACAAGAAAACATTTAATTCGTACAACCAAAGGTGTCACCACATGACGGATAATGGCAGAAATAACGTATCATGGCAGTGTGTGTGTGTGTGTGTGTGTGTGTGTGTGTGTGTGTGTGTGTGTGTACATACTGTATTAGGGGTCTAGCCCAAGGCCTTGTATGTTTGTGCCAGCCGAGCACGCCACCACTGATTCACACACCCACTAACAGCATTGTATCTGGTGTGTGAGGTCTGTTTACATTTGCACAATATACACACAATCTGCTTTACAAGTCTTAATAACTAAGAGTGTTTCTGTTTTTCGTTATTTAACATAGCCATGTTCTTTACAAGCACAAGTACTGTCTGTTTTCAACTATGAAAGAGCTTGCCACACATAACTTACAAGTTCATTTTTCAGGAAAGTAGGTGGATGTTCCTACATGACACCTTTGGAACGGCAGAAGACAAATCTGGGTGGCGGCTCTTTGAAGAACAGGGAACCGCCCTTTAAAACTGTTGCTAGATTCAAACTCACAGGTGGCCTTAACCCAGAAAGGGGACTGGTTTTACTAGCTGGGAGCAGTACTGTCTGTCTATAAGGAGTGTTCGAAGCAATAAAATAACTATTTTCTCCCAACATTAGAAGTTGTTGCTGCCCATGGGCTTCTTTCCCTATATGTTTTGTTTTGTTGTTGTTGTTTTTTTTGTTTTTCTTTGTAGTGCTGGGGATGAATTCAGGACCTTCTGCATGCTAGGCATGCATTCTACTACCTCATTCCAGCCCCACAAAGTTCTTCTCAAAAGCAAGGACTGTGTCTGTTGGGGATTTGTATTCCTAAGGTTCCATAGCACAATGCCATTTAATAGGTACCCAAAATGCTGCGGCCATGATAGAAAGTGTGGTTATGTAATAAGTTACATTCCAAAGCCTGATCCATACACTTGCACTGTTTCCTTGACTAAACAGGGAGAAGATACAATTTATCCGAACTGAAGGGACCCCTGGATTGGTGCGGCTTTCGAGTGATGCAGACCTGGTCATGTTACTGAGGTATGGAACACTAAGACTTCAGGTAGAAGTTCTCTGCTGTCAGATACTGTGGAACATTTTAGAAAATAACATGCCTGTGTTGATAGCCTAAAAATGGCCCCCTCCTCCTCAAAGTCTTAAGGAAATTGTCACATTGAAGATTTAGGATGCAACTTTCATAATAATTCATCTCATATTATGTCTAGTACCCCCAAGACTTGCTTACTCAGGCTTTACACCACCGGGAAAGGGAGAGGTTATAAAGACAAACCAATCACATGTCCCACTCCTTAAGTGGGACAGAAGGCAGCCACCCCTCAGCCCAGAGCAGAGGTCATGTCTATATTTTCTTTCCACTTTTTCTTTTTGCTTAAAATGTGCTTTGTCTCCTTTTGCTAGATTTTAGGTGTAGCTTATTTACTTTATGGTTTTGAGAGTTTAGGTTTGGGAAATGAAAAGGTTGAGGTTTGTTCAATGGTCCTACCAGTTTGATAGAGTTTCATGGCACTGACCCATTGCATTTTCCTTCACGGTGGTTAAATTGGGTTTGGTTTTAAATTTTAGAGTACTTTGGCAGGGCAACTGTAAAGTTTTCACAAAACTTTCTCGTGTTTGAGATCATCCATCAAGCATAGGCAAATCACAACTACAACAATGCTTTGCAGGACCCACTGGCTGGGAAACTGCCCTGGAGGTCTCCCTGGGATCAAAGGCAACAGTGACAGCTGGCCACTCAGGCAGTGAGTTCTTTATCCCTGAGTGCCAAAGGCCACAAGGTGTTGTAGGTTTTGTTTTGTTTTCTTTTCTTTTTCTTTTGACCCTGACTCTGATTCTCTCCTTCCTAGTGTTTGTCGCCATATTTCTTGCTAGTCCTTGGTTGTGGATGAAACAAGATTCCAAAGGTGCAGTCACTCCCCCAGACTGTTTCTCTTCCCTTAACTCTGAAGACCCTTGGGGGCAGGGTGTCCCTTCTCAATCTATCAGGCGACCCTTTTAACTGAGGTACACTGAACTAGTTCTGCAAATGGTATAGCTTATCAGATAGTCAGGAAGACTATTGGTCTGTTAATGCCAGAACATGATGTTTCTGTCAAAGCGTATACTTTCATTATAAAAATAAATTAATAAAAAACAAGAACAGCCGGGCGGTGGTGGCGCACGCCTTTAATCCCACCACTCGGGAGGCAGAGGCAGGTGGATCTCTGTGAGTTCGAGGCCAGCCTGGGCTACCAAGTGAGTTCCAGGAAAAGGCGCAGAGCTACACGGAGAAACCCTGTCTTGAAAAACCAAAAAAAAAAAGAACCAGACGTCTCTGAAGAGGTCAGTATCAGGAAAGGCAGACAAGGAAAGAAGCAACTTAAGACAACACAGGCTTTTATTTGGGAGAAAACAGCTCTCTAGAGGGGAATCCCTAAGAAGGAGAGCCCCCATGTGCACACACGCTGGGCTAGTTACAGGGCAGAGGGGAGGCGGGAAGGAGGCTGAAAAGTGAACCTTGGGCCTGAAATCGCCATTACCAGGAGTGAAGAAGAATGGTGAGGAGTAGGTAAGAGAATGTCAGGTGATGAATAAACAGAGCAGCCAGCCATTAGCAGGGTGTCTGCAGGGGGCAGAAGCAGGGATTAAGAAACTAGGTCTGGAATTCGGATTACTGTGGTCTCAGTGACACCAGACCAAGAGCTTTTCAAAATGGTGTGACCATGGCTAATAGTCTTATTCTCCATCTGTCTTTAATGAAATAATCTTTAGATGGTATAGTATTAAACATTTTAGTTAATTATAGCTAAAATGTTTGTACTTTGTCAAAGGCCATCATCTACATGAAATTCTTATATGCTACATGGTTGAATTTGGACGTGTTTAAAAATCTCACAAATAATGAGCAAGACTGCATTGTCTTTTGCTTGGGAAAATTAGCATGTTCACGGAAACTAAAGGGCCTTTGAAGAAGTTGAAGACCTAATAATTCTATAGTTATGACATGTTATGGAGTCAATTCTAGACCATCATTTCATTTGAGTTATTAAATGTACTTATTTATAGTACACAGTGGTACAATATACTATCTGTACTTACCTAATAAATAGTATTTACTACTTACTGGAAATGTGGAATTTTTTTTTGTCACATTTTGTTTTTTTTATACACTTAAAAGATATACTTGCTGTATACTTACTGGGTGAATCTGTGTCTCTTTGGGGTTGTTATTTCTTAGAGAGCAGAATCAGTTCTGGTACAAACGTATTTGATTGTCAGTGAGCCACAGTGTGAGCCTGTGTAGCTTTGAGACATTATTCAAATCAAATTGAACCCATTTAAAGGTATTTTTCTATTACTATTATAAAACATAAAGAAATTAAATGATGTTAACTTTGTTATTGATTATTCATTTCCTATATTCTTTCAATAACTAACTTCATTAAAATGTACCTTTTTCAGGAGTCACATAGGAAATAGTTAATAAATTTGGACATAGGAAAACATTTTAAAGTTGTATAACAAAAGATGCCACAAGTGAAGGCATGAAAAATGTAGCAAGCTGGAGGGGCGATTTTGACAACAGATAATGAGCAGGTGAAGAATGACTTTCAGTTATTTTAAAAGAAGAGAAACAAAAACTGGGTGAAGGAAATGGGTGGCCTCTCACAGGAACTGAAGAGGATTTGGTTAATACATGTGTGGGAAGACGCTGGTGACCTTAAGATGCAGTTTTGTACAATGAGCCACCATTTTACGTGACATTTGTAGAACTTAATGAAATGATAAGCGGCGCTGGTCGTGAGCCACGACAAAACCCAGTATCAGAGCTTTATTGTGGGGAGAGAGCCACAAAAGAACCAGGCCTGGGGAAGAAGCACATGCAGAGAGGAGAGAGAGAGAGAGAGAGAGAGAGAGAGAGAGAGAGAGAGAGAGAGAGAGAGATGGTGGGGGCAGGAGAGAACAGAGAGAGGAGGAGTCTGTGTCTGGCTTTTTAAGGATTCCCGTGCACATGCGCAGTTAGGCTTACAGAGCTACGCCACGCATGCGCTGATTGCATGATTGTGCAAGTGTACTTGCAGTCACGTAGCACAGGGATGATGTAAGATGCAAGACCCCTTGCTTAGCTCCTGATCTTAGCATGTGCGGTCATGCAGCTGGAGTGGCGGCAGAATCCTAACACCTAAAAAGTCTGATGATGCCCAGTGGGGCTGAGGCACTCTCCTACTATTGGGTTTGGGGAGATTGAAGTTTCTGCTGAGACAACTTCTCTGGTACACAAATTGGCAACATCTTGTATGATTAAAAAGGCTAAAAATGTTTTCATATTTTTAAGAATTATGTATCTGTTTTTACCTGTCTGGGTGTTTTGCTGGCATGTGTGTATACACACTGTTTGTGGCCAGTGCCCGCGGAGGCCAGCGAGTCAGGTCTCCTGGTACTAGAGTTATAGAGGGTTGTGAGCCACCATGTCGGTACAGGGGACTGAGTACAGGCCCTCTATGAGAACAGCAAGTGCTGTCAACAGTGAGCCATCACTCCATCCCCAATATTGTCATATTTCAAATACATTTTCATAGTCTTTGCAGATTAAACACTTAGAAAATGTCATCATCTTTGAAAGCAGATAGTGAAAAATCCATGTTAGAAGATGTAAATATACGTGTAGGTTTATATTAGAATAATATTCATAAAAAATTAAAATATAAGAAGAACTGGATTCAAATAATATTAGTTTGTTTGTTTGATTTTTAAGGCAGATGACCTTATGTCTGCACTTAATAAAATTCCTTTGTCCTTAACTTTTTACCATTGTGTGATGGTGATTTGGTTTATTCCCTCATTTTTTTTGTAAACACTGAAGTCCACCAAAGTGAGTGTGTGTGATTTTTGAAGATGTCTTAACCACATACAAAATGTCAGGGTGAATGTTTGGTCAAATACCATCCTATGTGTAGATATGTAACTAGCCACAATTCTAGTTGGACTGCAGGGCTTGCTGTGGGGGTTGGGGGGGCTGGATTGGGTTGGGTTGGGTTAGTATGTGCTTTTACTAAGCAACTCTTCTTTTGTGTGTATATCGCGTTCACAAGAAGAAACTCACACATGAAGAAGATTCCATGTAGAGGAGGACATCCATAGTGCCATTGATGATAAAAAGCAGACACTTGGGATGTCTTAGGGTTTCTATTGCTGTGAAGAGACACCATGACCACAGCAACTCTTATGAAGGAAAAACATTTAGTTGGGGTGACTTACATGTTCAGAGGTTCAGTCCATTATCATCATGGTGTAACATGGTGGCGTGCAGACAGACATGGTGCTGGAGTAGAATACATTTTGATCTGCAGGCAACAGGAAGTGGTCTGAGATACTGGGCAGTACCCTGAGGATAGGAAGCTTCAAAGCCTGCTCCCACAGTGACACACTTCCTCCAACAAGACCACACCTACTTCAACAAAGTCACACCCCCTAGTGCCACTCCCTGTGACCTCATGGGGCCAGTGACACTCAAACTACCACATGGGGAAAGGGTAAATATTAAAAAAAAATAGGAATAAATAAACTAGTATGTTCATAGAATGGCCTGATATACAGCCAGCGAAAGGAATATTCTAGATCCTTATGTATCCACACAGATATCAGACCACAGTATTGTTGATTGAGGGAGGTGGGTAAAAAACTCTAGCATAATAACTACTTACAGAGAACATTAAAAATGCCACAACAAAATTGTGCTTTACCTGTACATGGATGTTTCCAGGTCTGAAACTGTGGAAGGAAACTACCTGTTAAATCGTCATGGAGGAGAACACAAGAGGCTTCACAGGAGGCCTCCTCCTCCTCCTCCTCCTCCCCTACCCCCACCTCCCCTTCCTCCTCCCTCTCCCCCCTCACTGTGGAAGCGGTCTTCTGGGCCTCTTTGGCTAATGTGTATATTCTATTTTGTGTCTTTCCCTAGCTTGTTTGAGGAAGAGATAATGTCATATGTGCCTCCACATGCCTTACTCCACCCCAGCTACTGTCAGTCCCCGCGAGGTTCCCCAGTGTCATCTCCCCAGAACTCACCAGGTGAGTCTGTCTGTCCGTCCGCTGTACATGGGAATGCTCTAAGAGCACAAGCCGGGTGAGTCTGTCTGTCTGTCTGTCCGCTGTACATGGGAATGCTCTAAGAGCTCAAGCCGGGAGTGCTCTGCCTACAGGTACACACTGTGTGATATTTGCTACTTTTTCCCTTGTGACTTGCTTCCTTGCACGTTCATTGACTGAAAGACAATAAACAGGAGGATAAATGTTAGTAGTATAATGTAAAAAGTGTTCTCGTCGGACTTTCTTGGAACACCAGCCTGCAAATAATGACATGGAGACTTATTATTAATTATGGAAGTTTGGCCTTTAGCTTAGGCTTGTCCCCAACTAGCTCTTCTAATTCAAATTAACCTGCTTCTTTTATCTATGTTCTGCCATGTGGCTTTTCTTTTTCCTTAGTACGGCAAGTCGTACTTGCTCTGAGTCTGGCTGGTGACTGGCCATTCTTCTTCCCAGAGTTCTCTCTTTCCCCAGAATTCCTGCCTATCCTTTCTCCTGCCTAGCTATTGGCCATTCAGCTCTCTATTAAACCAATCAGAAGGTGACTTGGCAAAAGCTGGGGGTGTGGCTTAGTGGTAGAAATGCCCATCTGGCATGCATGAGGCCCAGGGTTCAGTTCTCAGTATCACAGAAAGTGACTTGGCAAAGATTCATCTTCACGGTGTATACAAATATTCTGCAACAGTATAATGCATTCCACTGTAGAATTTACTTTGAATTTTGCTGCCTAGTGTCTAACGTTTCTTGGAAAATATTAGGCACAAAATACTAGGTGAGCTCTTTTGATTTTAAAAGTTTGGTTGAGGGTACAGTTTTGATAGACAATAAAAACAATGTCTCCACTCTCAAGAAATGATATAGAATTTAAATTATTTAGCACAATGGACTTGGGTATCTTCCCCATATTGTATGAGATGGTATGAGGGAGATGAATGGGCAGATGAAACGTGCTGATGAGTGAAAACTTATCTGAATTCTTTTGGAAGAGATAGACGTGAATTGAGGGTAGTGAGTGGCTGGGTGAGTAAATGGTGTAAGCGGAGCTTTGTGGAAGTGAATTTTTAGGGAAGGTAGCCATGATGCTGGCAGAACATCAACTACATCTTTATTATAGGCGGTGTTGTTCAGACTTTTATAGAATTTAGAACTGTTTCGGTAGAAATCCCGACTTCAGATGTGTCGCTGGAAGCCGCCATGCTCTTTAACGTGTAGCATGTGTTCTCACACGTTGCTGTGGTAATAAAGCTGCAGTCTAATTGAACACCGCAAACAGGAAAAGCGCTATTAATTTGTCTGTGTAACACAGATTTATTGAGCATCCAACTATGATCCAAGCACTGAACTAGACCATGTGGTTTAAAGATGAATAACATCGTCTCTGCTCTGGAAGGGTTCGGGGTGAGGTGGTGAGTCAGCAGTGACTCTGGAGCTCAGTGGTCAGTGCTGTAATGGTGAGACATCTGGGAACGTGTGGGTGTGGGAACACTTGTTAGGGAGGATTAAGATAACAGGTATGAGGGAACCTTGGAGGATGGGTGAATGAGATTTGCCAGGCGGGGCTGTAAATTTCATTGGGTGATAATGTACTGCTTTGCTCTGGGATTGGTCCCCAGCACTAGGTGGGGTGGGGGGGGGGGCAAACAGGCAAACAACAATCAAGAACTAGAAGTTCCCCACATGGACCAAAGACAGAAGGACATTCTGGCTAAAGGGGTAGCATGTACTAACCACAGACAATGGGAATAGTGAGGAGAAAGAACAGAAGCGGAAGGCAGTTCTGGAAATTCGGGCCAGACTAAGGTGTTTCTATGTGACCCACTCAGTACAGACCCTGCTTTGGTAAAGGTCATTAATAAATTCATGAATCTCAGCCCACTGGCCTGTCTTTGGACTGCATCTTTAGCATTTGGCTCTGCTAACCATGCCTAGGAAATTGGCTTTTGGAGAAACCTCTGAAACTCTGCAAAAAGTAAGATGCCTGTGATAGCCTGTTGTCTGAAGATCAGTTTGACGGCAAACTGGATGGGGCATGTAACATGCTGAGACGTTAGGACTGAGCCAGGTAAGGAAAAGCCAAGGCAGATTAGGTCTTTTTGCTCACAATGCCCCGTAGATGTTGGCACCACTTGCCAAGAAAGGAAGAGTGTTTGTTTAACTTGTAGAGAAATGTAAGATGAGTTTGACTTGTTACATGTTTTATTGAGACATTTGGGGGCTCTCATTCTGAGATACCCAAAGACAAGTGGAAAATATAGTTAGGAAATACCAAGGACAATTGGACCACACAGATTAATTGCCAGGAATTCAGTGTCATGAGAACTGCAGTCTGGAGTATAGATCGGAGGAAGTATCGAGAGGATAAAACAGGATGAACTCTGGTATCTAAGGCTTGTGCTTAGGTGGGGGAGTGAGTGAAAGGCAGAGTGGATCTGGAGTAGACTTAGGAAAATGTTTCCAGGGGAGTCCATTTCCAGGGAGGTGTGGTTAATGCAGCCAAATGCTCAGAGGATTCAGAAAGAATGAAGTCCTGAGAGAGACCATGAAATGTAAAACTCAAAGTTATAAATTGTCATTGCCAAAGCAGGCTATAAACTAGTAGGTGATACATTGGATTGGGCCAGGTGCAACATGGTACGTGATGCTCAGTGATTGTCACCAGTGTAGAATGCTCTTTTTATAAAGTATAGTTGTCACAAACAAAGGTGGACAGTCATCAGAAGCAGAAAACTGAAGGAAGGGACTGTCTGCCGGAGAAGGTGAACATGTGTGCACTCGAGTCTCAGGATGGCGCTGACTGAGACAGGAGCTGCCATCCAGCCTTTGAGAAGGTGGTATACCACAGGTCACACACACACAGGTCAGCATCGGAGCAGTTAGAGAGAGACACATAGTGGATGAGACATGAAAGGAAATCAGTGTAGGACACTTCCGGTAAGTTTAAAGGTGTTGCGGACGGACGTCAGAATTCACAGCTGGCCTCCATGAGTTCTTTAACCAATGGAGAGACTTTGGACAATTTATCTCTTGGCAGAAATTTCTTTCCTTTTTTTAAAATAAATGGATGTATTAATAATCACCTCACCTCTTGTGGTTGGTTTTTTTTTGCTTTGGCAATGGCGTTGGGGGGGGGGTTCCCTTGCACTGCAGATGTCCAGTAAACATTAATGTATTCTCTTTTTCTTTCTTTCTGGAAACACAGAAGTACACCTTGCCCCTCCATGAGCCGTTCATTACTGGCATGCATGAGTCTATTTCTTCGTGACTTGGCGAGCTTGGCTGTGTTAGGCATTGAATCATTTGGAGAGGTCTTTGTTTTAAGTAGGGTGCCTGCTAAAGCTTTTTGTGGACTGTCTTTTTGTCTTGCTTTCTTATGATTAAACGTGTAGAGCCATGTGGAATTGGGCTCATGCCAGCCACAACCCTTTTTTTCTAGGCCTTTTCCAAGGTTCTTCCTCCCTGAGAACAATGTAGACCACCAGATTCTGTCTTCCGAACCCCCGGAGAAGTGTGCTCTTGAAGTCTGCCTAAGCGTTCTTTCATCCTGTGCAAACATTCTAAATGGTGACAGAATGCACATCTTCATTTAGCATCACAGATGCCCACAAGTAATTCATGGCAGTAATAAAGTGTGTTCTGGGAACTCAGAGTTAAAACATTTTCCAATGACATGTGTAATCCGGCCATATCTAAATTGCTAGCAGTGTTTGTGGTGGTTTTAATTTGCAGGAAAAAAATCATCTCCATATTCTTGGCGGGGGTTTGGTCTGGTGATGAGAGCGGGATGGACTGCCTGATAGTAGTGGAAGCGGCCGTCAGGGACTCCACGTGAGAAGAGCCGGGCCTCACTAACCTCATTTTCCCTGGGGAGGAATCTGTTTTTCAGAAAATGGCTTCTGCTTCTCCCAGACCTTTTGCTGGCTGCGTAAAATCAACATTTCAAAAATAATTTTTTTAAGTGGTCCGGTCTTTTTCTTGTGACTAGAATTTCACCCGTTTTAGTGGTTTGAGAATGATATTGTGAAAATTATGACAATAATAAATTTTAATGATCTTCACTCTGAATGCCTAGGAACCTGGTAATCTTTCCATATTTTCCCTCATTCCAAGCACATTTACATGTCTTTTCAAGAGAAAAGGGACTTTGGAAAGTTTGACTCACTGCTTTCTGCAGCTGTGAGAGTGTTCACCTAAAACTCGTCAAAATTTTGGAATGTGAAGGTTTATTTTTCTAGGGCCATTATAATGCCAATCCAACCTCAGCCATGTCCAAAGGAAAGGATCCCTGCAAACGCCATATGGTTCACTATGCCAAGGAGGAAACCAAGGAGTTTGCCTAGGGCACATCTCTAGGAATTTAAATGCAGTGACACCTAATTTGTCTAAAATATTGGAGATGTACTTTCTTGTGTGCATTTTCCAGGGGACTAAAATTATGGTGTCAATGGCATGAGAATTTGTTTAACACCCCATTATTGAAATTCCTCATGCATATTATTTTTCTCCTTGTTTTTGTATTTGTGGCACATTGAGGTGTGCTGCGTGGTGTATGGGGTGGTGTGGGGGTCTCATTGGGTCTGAGCGTGGTTCACAGCTGTGGTGACCACTGGAGTGCAAGCAGCATTAGATCACTGGATGGACTCACAGCACTGAGGAGCCTCCTGGGTCTTCATCAGGGTCGACTCAGTGGAATGGACCACGAGAAGGGTTTATTTTCCCCAAAAGGATCTTTTCTTCCCACAAAGACTTGAATATTACCGGCCGCGTATGTTACCTCCTCCTCTTAGAGACATGTCTCTCTGTTCCTCCCAGCCCTCCTCATCTTTTCCCCCTCTGCTCAGCCAGTTATGATATAGCTATTGATTTTTAATAATTTTTATTCTTTGGAAATTCTGTACATTCATATAATATATACTGATCAAATCCATCCACTAGTACTGTCTTCTGTCTACCCCTTGTACCTCACCCACCTCCCTCTGAGCTTC